CCCGGTGGGTTGATCGGTTTGATCTCACCAGGCTATGCTTGGCAAACCAAAAAGTTGTCACTGGGCCATGAGATTCGCATGCCGCACTCACGGGCACTTGCGTCGATTTTTGCCGCCATGGCGGACTTACTCCTCAGAGTGGCAAGGTCTGGCAAGGAAATTCTTGCCACCTGCGTCCCGCGTGCCGCGCGCAACTCTTTCCCAGCTTCGCCGCCGATAACGCGCGCCTGTGAACGTTTTTTTTTTTTTTTTTTTTTTTTTTTTTTTTTTTTTTTTTTTTTTTTTTTTTTTTTTTTTTTTTTTTTTTTTTTTTTTTTTTTTTTTTTTCTTCTTCTTCCTCTTCTTCTCCGGGGGCGCGTGTTGTCGGACCGAGGTATACTATTGAGGTCGGTTCGGGGAAGGCACCCTAATGCCATGCGTGTTTTGTCGGGTGTTCTCTTTTGCAAATTGGACGAGGGCGTCCTCGAATGTTCTCCAGTTTGTCCAGTGGAGGGTCTTATGTTCTTGAAGGATGTCCTTCTGTCCTACGTACGACTGTATTAAAAAAGCACGACGTCGCATGTTTGAGTAGGTCCCTCCATGGCTGTTCCTTTAGCCCTCTTCGCGCGCGCTGACGGGGCTTCGTTCCTTCTTCTGTGTTCCTTGTTTCGGCGGCCCCAGCCCCGGGGAAACGGTCAGTACTCTTGGGGGCCGCGTCTTGAACAGACCAGAACGTCGCAGGTTTGGGTAGGTCCCTCCATGCATGTTCCTGCGGCCCTTGTCGTGCGCGCATGCGTTTCTGGTACTAAAAAAGGGCTTCGTCATTGACTCAGCATCCACTGCTTCCGCGGCCAGACTGCGGCATGTGCTGCTCTGGGCAGAGGGCGCGTTCCCGGAGCTCCAGGAAGCCCGCGCTGGGCCTGGGCAGCGGGCCCTAATCGGTCAGGGGGCGGCCAACGGCCCCCCGAGGTCCCCAAGAAGCCCCAGACACCCACCAGACGCCCGAAGATGACCCGAAGAGACCCCCAAGAGGTTTTCGAAATGCCAGAGAACAATTGTTTCCCACGTGTTCTTTCTCATGCGGTTTGGAGGATGCTCTGTTCTTCGGTCTCCCGGGCATCCGAGACCGCCGAGCATCGCCCCAAAACTCTCCGAAAAGGGTTCCCAGGCACCAAGAGAGCCCCAAGACGGCCCAACAGGGCCCCAAGATGGCCTGGAGAGAGCCCCATGACGGCCCAAGATGGCCCCTTATACGCCCCCCGAAGCATTCCAAAAACGTGACCCGGTCGTTCAGGGAGACCGCGGTTGGAAGCAGGGTGGCCCGAGAAAGCCCCAAGAGGCCCCCAGCAGGTGCCCAGGAGGCCTCCGGAAGACCCCCCGAAAGCCTTGAAAACTTGCGCGAGGCCCCCAGGAGGCTTTCCAAGGAGAGGATTCCGCAAAAAGAGCTGGAAGGGTGGTCCTTATATGTATGTATGTATGTATGTATGCATGCATGCATGCATGCATGCATGCATGCATGTATGCATGTATGTATGCATGTATGTATGTATGTGTGTATGTATGCATGTATGTATGCATACATGCATGCATGCATTCATGTGTATGTATGTATGTATGTATGTATGTATGCATGCATGCATGCATGCATGCATGCATGCATGCATGTTATGTTATGGTGTGTAATGTAATGTAATGTAATGTTATGTTATGTTATGTTATGTTATGTTAGGCCATGCTATGATATGGTATGTTGTGTTATGTTTTGTTTTGTTATGTTATGGTATGTTATGGTATGTATGTATGTATATATATGGATGTATGCATGTATGTATGCATGCATGCATGCATGCATGCATGTATGTATGTATGTATGCATGTATGTATGTATGCATGTATGCATGCATGGATGTATGTATGTATGTCTGTCTGTATGCATGTATGTATGCATGTATGTATGTGTGTATGTATGTATGCATGTTTGTTTGTACGCATGTATGTATGTATGTATGTATATACAAAAAATGATACATGCACACATGAAGAAATACATACCGCCCCTTCTCCAGCCCTGGGTCCCACACCTCCCCAGAACATCTCGGGAACGCTCCCGGTACTGCTCCCCCGGCCTTTGCCCCCAGATTGCGAAAGGATGGTCCAAGACGCTCCCAAGCAACCCAAGTCAGTCTTCCGACGGCTCACGAGGCTCCCAGGTGGCCTCCAAGAGACCCCAAGAGAGGTCCGAGAGGCGTCCCGGGACGGCAAAAAGGGTAATATGGTTGATTCCCAATGGTTTTTCTGCTGTTTTTCGCCTTCTCACGTCCGTTTTTCCGCTTCCAACCCTCGAGGATCGAGGATTTCGGAAAAAAGAGAATTCCCAGAGTTCCCTTTTTTTTTCAAGTGTGACTCCTACTCGGAGATTCCACACATCCCCTGACACCTGGCCGGTACCGCGCCTCCCGGGGGCCCCCAAGGACAGCCCAAGGCGACCCCAAGGAGCCCCCAGAACGTAAAGAACGGCCCAACACGCTCGCGCGCAGCCCGAGACACCCTTCCGACGGCTCTCTAGGCCTCCAGGAGGCCTCCAGAACCCCCAGGGGGTCCGGAAGATCTCACACCCCAAAGGGGCCCGGCTAACAAAACCCGCGAGGCACAAACAGAAAACAGCGCCGAACATCGCCGAGGAACTAGAAAGACATGGAAATCCCACAATTCCTTTTTTTTTCAAGTTTGGCCCCCGGTCTACTCTTGCTCAACAGACCACAATTCAGACCCCCCTCACCTCCCACAAAAGAACCCAGGAAACCTTTGAGGGCCCCAAATCGTTGAATACCTAAAGGGAATTCATGATTTCTGCGTTTCCGCATTTCCCCTTCTATACGATTCCGAGGCTTGCGCAGGGCCTCAAATGGAGTCCCTGGGCGCAAGAAGCGACCAACATGAGATTACATGATTTAGCCGATCAATCCTAGCTAGAACTTGAGCGCGCGCGAAGCGCGCGCGATGGTTCTAGTACATATAAACAAATACAAATTTACACATGCGCGCACCTACACATATATATATATATATATGTATATATATGTGTGTGTGTGTATTGCACATATATATATATATATATATATATATATATATATATGTGTGTGTGTGTAGATATGTATAGATATATACACACATATACAGTTATATTTAGTAGACATCTACACAACAAACGGGAGGTTGTTCGGCCACTGGGAGGCCCTCGCCGGACCCCGGGGCCGTCAGAAAACGATTCGGGATGAAAGACCGGTCCCGGGGGAGAAGTCCTGGGGGCGGCGTATTGAAAAAATCGGGGCGCCGCGTGTCTGGGGATGTTGCTGCCCTTCCCCTGAGAACCTGGCGTCTCAATGTTTTTGAGCCGGGCGTCTTCGCCTTTTTTCGGGCCCCGGTGCCCTCACATATCGATCTGCTTCGGAAAATGGCTCAGAAAAGGTGGGGTCTAGGGCTCCGGGCGCGATAGTTTCCAATGTTGGATTTTATTTGCTACGTCAGAAATCAGGGCATGGTTAAGTCGGGCGTGTCCCTTTACAGGCGGAATATTCGAAAATAGTGAAAAAACAGTCGGGGGACTATTATTCGAGTACCTTTTTGGCCATTTTGTTTTATTCGTTCGAGTATTTATATAATTGTTCCTCGAAAGCCCCCCTGTAGGGGGACACGCCCGACTTGAGGGTATGGGGCTTCTGGGGGGGCCCTCGTCGCCACGGCTGGGCGCGCCGCCGGTGGGAGAGGGGGGGGGGCGTGCGCGCCGCCGCCCGCCGTACCGCGCCTGGAGCCCGCGCGTCCGTCAAGAGGAGGGCGAAGTCGGGCACGTCCCTCCACAGGAGGAACCCTCAAGCCTGGTTTAAACAAATCGTCTGGGGGCGATTCCTTGCTGTGTCTGACTACGTGGGCTCTTTGTCAGTTCTTTCTCCCAAAATCTGCCTGGAGCCCGCGCGTCCGTCAAGAGGAGGGTGAAGTCGGGCACGCCCCTCCACAGGAGGAATCCTCCAGCAGGGCTCGAGTTAAACCATGTTTCCCGTTTTCGTTTTGTTTTCGTCATCTCTAGGATTTCTGGGATAGGGCAGGTGTGAGGTTAGTGGTGCCAGATACACATACGTATGCAATTAAGAAGTCAACATCTGTGATTGATCATTATGTGATGTCTAAGACTTTGGCAGATCGAGTCGACGGCGTGCTCACGGTCAGGGATAGCATCTTCCCACATTCACCTCACCATCCAGTTTGTGTGTACCGTAAGATGTCTGGAAACAACCCTTTGTTCCGATGTTGGTGATGTCGCCAAGGCTGCCTCTGAAGCGTCCTTTCGGGCCATCTCCCAAACCTGCGGATTGGTCGGCCTTGGGTGCTCTCTTGGATCGCGTCAGTTAGAGAGCGGAATCTCAGGGGACACATCCCTCCAGGAGGTGAGAAACCTCCTGGATTTCGCACATGCTCAGTCTGTGCCGAGCACCGAGGGAATCGTCAGTGACAGCACGCTCACGGAGAGTCCTCGTCGAACCGGGTCGCGCCGTGCAGAGCCGCCTCGAATCGCGTGGGTGCTCCGGGAGGAAGCTCCGGTAGGGCAGCGGGGAAGCGCTGGATGAGCAGGGGGCAGCCCCTGGCCTGGAGGAAGGATTGGGTCCAGGCTGTCTCCAGAGCCCCTGCTGGGGCTCGCTGCCCCCTCCCCCCTCCCTCCCCCCCCCGTGGAGTGGGTCTTGGCTGTTTTTGGCGTCTCTTTCCAGCGGGTGGAGTCCCCCCTCGTAGGACCCACTGTTGCAAACGGCGCCACTGAGCAGATGTCTGGAGCGAGACCCATTCCCCCCCCCTTCCGCCCCATGTCGAGACGCCGAATAAGAAAGCGCTGGCTTCACGGATGCCGGTAAAATCGCCAAAGCGCGAAGGGGGTTTAGCTCTGCCTTGCCCCGTCTCGCATCGGAGCTCCAGAGGGGCGCCGGCTGAATCCGGGGCCCATTCTTCCTTGATTAGCATTCTGTCCCAAGCAACGGCCTATGTGAGTGCGCTCGCAATCGGCTACAGGGATGGCCTTTAGACCTGACTGTCTCTGCACAGGCCCTGGACACATTCCTGTCAGAGGTCTAGGAGGCGATCGAGCAGGAGATGGTGTTGTCTTGGACCTCCCACGCCAAATCTTGGAATTACTGGGTGCGTCTGGCAATGGGCCTGGGGACGGGGCGGGCTCGCAGGTGGAGTGACATCAGAGTCCAGCGAAGGCCCGTCGGCACGGGGGGTGATCTAAAGGAATCAACACGGCCCACGCAGCTTCTAGAGAAAGAAGGCCGTTGCCTAAAATCTATATCCGTTCAAAGAAGGCGCCGCAGGAAGCATTTCAAGGCCCGGAAGGCAGCTGGAGGTCTCTCCTGGACATCGCTCCCCGCGACATCCCTCAGGCAACGAAAACCTTTCAAATGAGACGGCGCAGACATGGGGCACCACTACTCACTCTTAGACATGGAGCAATTCAGTTGCGTAGCCAAGCTGTTCAGCATCATTAAAGAGATTGGGATCATGCCGCCCCTATCCGTGCAATTCGCACGAAGCTAATTCCCAGACGCATGCCAGATCAGGTAGGCTTGAGCTTAGCTTTTGAGGGATCGGTTTACTTCCCAGTCAATATCGTGTTTATGCCAGGATAAGGCAAGACGTCTCGCGGACTGGGGAAGGAGCGCGCCTCAGCAAGATGATGGGCCACCAAGCTGTCCGCTCCATCTTGGAAATCGTGTTCATTCAAGGGTTACGGGCTGAATCTGCAGCCCTAGAGTCCGTGCATGTGCATGCGGGGTGCCTCCTGTGGGGTTTGAGCAAGTATTGCGAACTCGTGAACCATCATCTCCTATGGGACCGTGCAGAGCAGCAGGAACATCCATTAGCAGTCTTGGCTATAGTACTGTACCAATGCTCGGGGCGTAGTTTTTGGGGGTATTCAGGCACATGCGTTAACTGATCCTTTCCAAGAACTGGCATGGCCGCAGGGTGCTCTTGCGCAAGGTACCTTATCCAGGTATTCTCGTTACCGCCGCCGAGGGCCTGGAGCTCCAACAACCCTGAGATAGACCTCACCATGTTCATCGACGATTTCCTTGTGATGTACTCGCGCGTTTGCTTACGGACTCTGGTCAACAGGCTTACTCGTGCAGTTGCTAGCCTTGCTCATCTCATAATATGGGCAATGAAACGTAGCATCGCGTTGCACAAATCTGTAATTGTGGCCGGCTCCCCCGTGTTCAAAGCAATTTCGATGGGCAGTTCAGGGAAATACGCAGGAAAGCACTTGGGGAATCAATTTGCATGCCCAAGACGTTCCGAGAGGCACCCCAAGAGAGGTCCAAGAAGCAAAAATGGTCCCATTCCTATGGGAAAACGTAAACTTTTCGCATGGTCGCCTGTTGGGTTTTCACCGCGTCCAACACGTCCGAAGAGGCTCCCAAGACGGCCTAGGTGGCCCCCAAGAGAGTTCCAAGACGGTTCACGAGGCGCCCAGGACGGCAAAATTGGACTCCAAAATGGCCTAAGAGAGCCCCAAGGCGTGCCCGAGAGGGGTCCCAGAGGGAGAAAGCCACTGTAGAATTCCGAGCTTTCGGCCCCAAGAGGCTCCAGGAGGCGCCAAGAGAGCTCCAAGAAGCCCCCACGAGAGACCCAGGACGCCCCAAGAGGCTCCAAAGGCGGCCCAAGAGAGCCCCAAGATGGGCCCGAGAGGGGTTCCACGATTCCTGGGTCTGTGACTCGACAGAACCTAAGCGCGCGCGAAGCTCGCGCTTGGTTCTAGTACGCACACATATATACATATATAGATATATAGATAACTCTTCTCCTCCTCCTCCTCCTCCTCCGCCTCCTCCTCCTCCGCCTCCTCTGCATCACAAAGTGTTTCTACTGGAACGCCTCATAAAGGGAATCCTTTGGAAAGCACTACAAAAGGATCCTATTGGACAACCTCACAAAAGGAATCCTTTGGAAAGCGCAACAAAGGGATTCGATTGGAAAGCCTCACAGCAGGAATCCTTTGGAAAGCACCACGAAAATATTATATTGGAAAGCCTCGCAAAAAAAGAATCCTTGGAAAACACCACAAAGGGATCATACTTAAAAGCCTCAAACAAGGAATCCTTCGGAAAGCATCACCAAGCCCGCGTGGTGGTGGGAGACATGGACGACGACCAGGGCTCCGCCCGGCTCCGCGTACGTGCTCGACGGGGCCACCGGCGAGAGGCTGCTGAAGCTTGTGGCGAGTGATGGGACTGCTTACGACAGTTTCGGTTCCTCGGTGGCCGTGAGCTCCGACGGGGCCCGCGTGGTGGTGGGGAGCAAATTTGACGACGACCAGGGCACCGATTCTGGCTCCGCGTACGTGCTCGACGGGGCCACCGGCGAGAGGCTGCTGAAGCTTGTGGCGAGTGATGGGGCCGATTACGACTACTTCGGTTCCTCGGTGGCCGTGAGCTCCGACGGGGCCCGCGTGGTGGTGGGGGCCTATGCTGACGACGACCAGGGCACCAAGCCCGGCTCCGCGTACGTGCTCGACGGGGCCACCGGCGAGAGGCTGCTGAAGCTTGTGGCGAGTGATGGGACTGCTTACGACAGTTTCGGTTCCTCGGTGGCCGTGAGCTCCGACGGGGCCCGCGTGGTGGTGGGGAGCAAATTTGACGACGACCAGGGCACCGATTCTGGCTCCGCGTACGTGCTCGACGGGGCCACCGGCGAGAGGCTGCTGAAGCTTGTGGCGAGTGATGGGGCCGCCTCCGACTACTTCGGTTCCTCGGTGGCCGTGAGCTCCGACGGGGCCCGCGTGGTGGTGGGGGCCTATGTGACGACGACCAGGGCACAGATTCAGGCTCCGCGTACGTGTTCGGTGAGGCAACAACTGAGACGACCACCGCGACGACCACCAAGACGGCCACGACGACCACCGATACGGGCACGAGTTCCGCGACGTCAAGCACTACTACCATCATCAAGACAACCACCGAGACAACAACTGAGACGACCACCGCGACGACCACCAAGACGGCCACGATGACCACCGATACGGGCACGAGTTCGGACACGTCAAGCACCACAGCCACCACCGAGCCATGGGGATTAATTGCAGTCTTCGCTGGTGCCTTGATCTTGTTCTTGGTCGCGCTGGGCTGCCTGGTGAAGCGCGGCATTGACAACGCGGAAGTTGAGGACAACGAGTACAACGAGTCGGAGCAGGTCGTGGAGATCTAGCACGACACGGAGCCTGAGGCCTTCTTAGAATCTCCCTCCCTCCTCCTCGCTCCCTGTCGCGCCGCGCAGCTATCCCTCGCAATACGCTGGAGCAAAGCACAGTTTTTTTGCCTCTTGGGGCCCGGAGCAGGAGTCGGAGCAGGACGCGGAGATCGATGAGCACGAGTCGGCGCACCGTATTTAGCACGACGCGGAGCCTGTATCATCAGGCTACTCTGCAGAGCAACACTACGCCAACTCACCTTTGGCTTCGAGAAGCCACGTTTTTCCCCAACCATCCAAGCGCTCTCACATGGCGCTCTATTTCTCTCTCTCTCTCTCTTTTTTTCGGGGGGGGGGGGAGGGGGGGGGCAAAGGGGTATCCTCTCTCCTCCTCCTCCTCAGGCTCTGCCTCCTTCCGACCCCGGCCTCTCCCTACGCCGCCTCTCGCCGCCTCCTCCTCCTCCTTCGGGGTCCACGTGGGGCCGGGCCCGCCGCCCTCGAATGTCAGCCGAGCGGCGGCCGTGAGGAGCAGACGGCCAGAGGGGCAGCGGGGAGAGGGTGAGGGAGGGGGAGAGGGAGGGGGAGAAGTAAGAGAGAAGTGGAGGCAACGTGTGATTTTTAAACGACGCGTGAACAATCATAACTCGCATAAGTGCTGGAATATAAAACCCATCGCCACAGGCAAGGGCGAACGCAAGTGCACCGCCACTGAACCGCATTGGTCATTGTGGCAAAGAACTGTAGGTAACATGTCTAAGCGCGCACGCGCAAATAGCTAGGCGACAATTGAACGCGCGAGAGAAAGGCGAAATTTGCCCGACTCACCGCGTGGCCACTCGCAACGCACCCCTCGTACGCTCTGCAACAGACCCCCTGCTGATGCAACTTTGCACGGTCATGGCGCAATCCACGACCTTCCCCCGCAGGCGATGCATTAGTCAGCACTACGCCCGCGCGCGCGAAGCTATGCAACAGGACGTAGCAGCTGAACAGCTACGCATGCACGGATTGTACCACAATCTCGGCTGTGGTGAACTTATGTAAACAAGCACAAGGGTAGCGGTAGCGTTGGCAACTCTCATGCATCACTGCACTGGCCAACCCAAGCTCGGAGCAGCGTCTGGGAAAAACTTATCCCGAATGCTGTATATGTCAACCCTAGTCCTACAGGACGCTGGAGCTGACCAGTCATGCATGCATGGGCTTAGCCATCCCATCAAAGGGAATTTCGATGGGCCCATCAGCCAGCACTTTGGGAATCGATTTGCACGCGGGCAGTTTGCGTTCCAAAGGTGGCACCGCGCTCGCGCTGCAGAGCTGGCTTCAGGCAGTAAGCAGTCGCAAGAAAAGCTTTGCGCCTTGAAGAAAGCAGGATTCAGCTTGTAGAAGATGTTCCTATTGGGCCTCCAATCATTCGGGTTTCACAGTTCAGAAGTGGTAGGAATTAGGAATCCCGAGCTTGCCGAGGCCCAGCGCGAGTATTTGAGAATTGTTGGATCTCCTGCAACCAGCAAGGCAAAGGCAGTCACGCTCATGATCCTGGACGACCCCTCGTGGAGGCAAGGGCCCGGGCCAGCTCTATCTTGGTCGTCAATTGTCTGCGGGCCGGCCGCAAATTGTCGAGTTGCGGAGGCAATTTCGTGAACCGACTTGTCCAGATTAGCGTAGCCCGCGCTCCAGCGCTTGCCGCAAAAGTGGTTCTCAGTTCAAGGGCCTTTAGGTGCAGCTCATCTGTCTCCGCAGCTCGAATTGGCCGGGCCTTTGACGGCCTGTTCAAGCGCGTCACTTCGGAGGGGAAGACGTGCAACTTGACGGGCGCGTCCCCTGTGCATGGTCCAGTGTCTCATGCAGAAGCTATGGAGGGATCGGGCAGCCGCGCTCGCCGCTTGTAGTCTGAAGCTCCCGGGTGGCAGTTTCGAGCCTGGTGTCGCGCGAGATGTTCTGTCTTCATCGTCTCTGGGCGATCACAATCGGGCGCTCTTCAAGTCTTGTGCCGGGCGCTCTCGAGTCTAAGCCGGCAGCATTGCATGGGATATGATGTAGATTTGCCTTGCCTTTTGTGCGGGGCCCGTTCGGATAGCACATGTCACAGGCGATGGGAGTGCAGGTGCACTGAGGAGTTGAGGAAGGAGTGGGTCTCTCAAGATGCGCGGGATGTCTTGTTCCACCTGGACTTCCAGCAGCACTTGCTTTTAGGCTTTTGCCGCGCTCCTGCTTCTCCTTTCGTCGCTCCGCCGGGGCTCGGACATGGAGATTTTGAGGTGTTGGCTCGCGCAGGGGATGCCATGCAGGACGTCTTCACGATGAAGTCTTCGTTGATGGGTCGTGCTTCAAAGAGGGAGCGACGCAGCATCGCAGGGCAGGCTGGGGAATATCCCAATCTCCCCGCGCGGCGACCTGCTAGGCCGCATTTTCGGGCGGGTTGGGGCTCGGCTCCCGCGGGCGCCCCCATCAGGTGGCCATGCTTCAGCACTGGCTGTCACTACCCAGCTCCCCCTAATGCGTAGACAGCAAATTCGGACTATGCGGGAGTAGCTGAGATGCATGCCGAAGCTAGGCGTTCGAACCTCAATCGAATATGTTAGCATGCAGGTCTGAAGTTGTTGACTTTGGACGTGCACCTGCGGGCTTTGTGATCCCAAAGGCGAAGGCTCATGTAGACCCTGATTCGTTGCCGCATCTGTCTCCCGAGTGGTTTCAGGCCGCGGGTAACCATGAAGCTGACGCAGCTGCGAAAGCAGGTGCGCCCTTACATCGCGGCCCCAACTCGGCAGAAGTAGAGACATGGGAAGCTCGGAATAAAGCCCTGAAGTCGTTTTTGCAGTATGTACCTTGTGCTCATTCTCTTTGGCCTTGCCCTCCCAAGGGGAAGCTGGCCCGAGTGAGGCCGGCGCGAATTCAAGAGAGTGGAGGCCACCTCGTGGACGTGCTCGGGCCGCATGCCCGTGAGCACGTTGTGCGTCGTCAAATGATGTTTGGGGAGCCTGGGGCCATTAGGGTAGGACAGGAGAGACCCCCTCACCATCCTGAAATACCAGCGCACCCGCAGGCTGTGGAACAGCAGCGCGAATGGCGGTGGAGAAAAGAGAGTCGCTCTTGGACCTGCCTGCGGTGCCAAACAAGAAACACCAGATCAAGGGTTGAGCCCTTCCAGCGTCTCGGCCCCTTCGTCCTCCCCCCTCTCCAGGCCCTGTTTCACAATCGGCGGAATCACTGTTTGTATCTTACAGAGCACCCCGCGGGGATCCTGATTATATGTAGAGGCTGCGGCTGTTATTCCGAAGGAGCCCGCGCCGTAGGCCTGGAATCCAGGTGCCTTCCTGCGGGCGATTCCCGCAGAGCCCAAACCAACTGGAACAGAGCATTGATAGGTCAGTCTACCAATTACAAGCGTGGGGGCGGCATTATAATGGGAGAGCTTCTCCAGGTCAGCGCTTTGCTCCGCTTCGCCCAGAGTTGGCGCGCCCTGAGAGTCAGGGGACCTCTGCCTCCGCCTCCGCCTCCTCTCCTCCTCCTTCTTTCGGCATGACTCCTAAAGGGCGACTGGGCGGCTTCCGATCAAGGTGCCCGTGGAAAGTCGTGAGCATTCCGTACTCGTACACCTCGAGGGTCAGCAACTTCTCGGTGCTCCATACGAAGGCACCTTCATTCAGAAGCTGCATATTACATGCGCCGAGTGGGTCGACCCAGGCAGAACTGGACCGAGCAGGTCTTGGACTTTGCCAGGGCAGACGAATCTTGGAGAGAGATCGCAACGCGCATAGCATGATCAATTGTTCTGCGCAGCAGCCCCGGGGGCAAAACCCCTTCCATAGTCTTGTTGGCTTGGGTTTCTGTTGCTTCTCCCCTTCCCTCCGCGTCCCTCGCCGCAGAAACGTGTGGGCTCCATCCATCTTGCATTGCACGGGTTTCATTGTCTCACACGTTGTTTCACCAGTCAGCCGAAGCACCTGCGAAGACTTGGACTGGCCAATTCGCCGCCTGGCGTACGGTGATATTTTCTTTTTACTGCTGCTGCTGATCCCCCTTTTCCTCCTCTTACCACTCCTCGTTGACCCTGAGGTGGAGGTCGGGGGTTGGGGCTGGAAGGGGGCCGGATAGAGGGAGGTAAAAAGGGATGAGGGAGGGTTTGTTTGAAAGGGGGAAGGAGGGAAATAAGGATGAGGAAAGAAGGAAGGAGTGGTCTTTCGACGCTTCCTTAGGTTGTAGCCGTCGTCGTTCCCCTCCGCCTGCCTCTTTCGCAGTTGTTTCTTTCGACGAGGCCACAGCCAGCTCAGGAGGAGAAAAAAACACATACAAACACAATTAGTCGTCGATCCCCCAGAAATATGGGATAATGTGGGAAGTGGGGGGAGAAGACAGAAGCCCAGAACATATGGGAAACTATGGGGAATCCTGTTATTTGTGTCTATTTACTTGCGTGTCCCAGGGCCCCTTCATCAACGTAGTTTTTGCCGCCGCGCCAAGCGCGACCGCGCCCGCCATGGGCCGTGCAATGATTCGCTCGGCCACGTCGTTTTGCGCCCGCGGCGCGCGTCGCCTTCGCCGCGGCTGCCTGGCGTTCGCCCGTCGTTCCTCTTGCCGTGGGCGCTTTCGGAACGTCTCTGCAGGGTCGGCGTGGCTTGTGAGGCGCAGCTTGTTCGCGACGCGGCCCGCAGTGACAGCGGCCCGCTGTCACATTGTGCGTTGCGAGTGTTTCGTTTTTTTGCGGGGCCGGGAGTGGCGCCGTTGATTTTGGACGAGTTCGAATGGCGCCTGTTTGAGCCAGGCGGCCTTCGCGCAAAAGGTGCCGCTCAGCTGGTCAAGTAATCGGGTGACCTTGCGAACGGGAGCAACGCTGGATGAATGTGTTCTGCATGCTGGTTAAAGGTGATGCAATTACATCGATGGGGGTTGGTTCCCTTTCGAACTCATTGCCCGTTGTAGTGATGTGCGGGCGAATGGAGACCTACAGAACGTTGAAGCAACGACCATTTTGGACTCAGGAGGGGCTTTTGTTTCTGGGCCTACCTTAGATCTTAGATCCAGGGTGGGGGACGTAATTCGTGGCCGAGGCTCGCCGTGGTCGCCCGACGAACATGTGACGCTATGTGGGCGATCTGGCACCTGTCCCTAATACGCGCTGCAAAGCACATGGCGATCCAGGCCCACGGGGCCCACGCCTGTCCATCGGCTTCTTGCTGCAGCCACAGGAAAGCCGTCTGTTGGTCAACGGTGAGCGGACTTTGGGCGGGAGGGTGTACTTGGGAACCATCGGTGGCGTGCAGGGGCAAATGCTCGGTCCCTACTCCTTCTCCTCCTCTGACTCCTCCTGTTCCTCCTTTCCCCTCCTCCCCCCCCCCTTCCTCCTCCTCCTCGCGCTTCCTCTTCTTAGTGCCCTCCCCGCTCCCTTCTCTCCCCTGGCTCCTCCCCCTTGCCACCTCGCTCCTTCCTCCCCTCTCTGCTTCCTCCCTCCTCCCTCTGCCCTCGCACCTCTCCCCTCTCTCTCTCTCTCTCCTCCTTTACGTTCTCCACACACACACACACACTGAGCCCACCATCCTCAATTTTCGTCGGCGGTGGCGGCCCTTCGAAGCTGCTGTCCGACGACGGCTGCGGCGCCCATTCCGACGCCGGCAACGCCGTCGCCGTCGCCGACGACGAGGACGACGCCGCCGAACACGACTCCGACGCCATCGTCGACGACGCCGACGCCGCCGACGACGACCCAGACGACGACGACGACCCAGGCGACGACCCAGACGACGACGACGCGGACGACGACGACGCCGACGCCGCCGACGACGATGGCGGCGTTCCATCGCATCAGGACAATGCCCTGGACGACGAGGCCGCGGAGAAGCTGGCCGACGGGCTGGCAAGAAGCACCACGCTGGAGCCCCCCCTGGGGTTGCGTCGCCGAAGGGGGGGCGACCTCCGCTGCCCTCCCGCTCCCGCACAGGAGGAGGAGGAGGAGGAGGAGGAGGAGGAGGAGGAAGAGGAGGGATGAGGAGGAGGAGGAGGAGGAGGAGGAGGAGGAGGAGGAGGAGGAGGAGGTGCTGATGATGGCGGTGATGCTTCTGCTGATGGTGGTGGTGATGCTGGTGGTAGTGACGTTGATGGTGACGGTGGTGTCGGGGGTTGTGATGGTTGTGGTGATGACTGTGGTGATGGCGCATGTGATGGTGGTGATCATGACGATGGTGGCGTTGATTATTGATGACGGTGACGACGCCAGTGGTGGTAGTGGTGGCGGTGACGATGACGATGCTGGTGACAATGATTATTGTGCATGATGTTGGTGATACTGATGACGGTGGTGGTGATGGTGGTTGTGGCGGTCATGATGATGTTGTTGATGATGATGCTGATGATGATGTGGATGATGTGGATGATGATGCTGATGCTGGTGATGATGGTGGTGATGGTGGTGGTGAGAAGAAAACATAAGATGTTGATAATGATAATGCTGCTGATGATGATGACGACGATGCGGATGCTGATGATGCTGATGATGATGCTGATGATGATGCTGTTGATGATGATGATGATGATGATGATGACGATGATGACGATGATGCTGATGATGCATATGCTGATGCTGATGCGGATGCGGATGCTGATGCTGCTGATGCTGATGCTGATGCTGATGATGATGATGATGAGGAGGAGGAGGAGGAGGAGGAGGAGGAGGAACTGTGGAGGAGGATGCGTCGGCGGCGGGGCGGAGGCGGGGTCAGGAGAAACTGTACCTGAGCCGCAACGGGATCGGGGACAAGGCCCGCCCCTCCGCCGCCTGCGTGGCCCGCCTCGCGGTGAGGGTTGGGCACGCGAGGACGCCGTCGAGGGAGGGGGAACATGATGAGAAGCAAGACCGCGCACAAGGAAGAACAAGAGGAAGCGGAAGGCGCGCGCGTGTGCTGACCGTTGTGATGCCGGAATCCCGATACGTAAGTTTAGCAGGGGAAGAGGAGGGGGGGGCGAACTGAGGGAGACAGGGGGGGCGTTATCTCGAGTCAACAGAGCGCCCGCGTGGATGAAGGCGCGTAGGTCAGCGACCAAGGGAGGGGGGAGGGAGGAGGGAGGAGGGAGGAGGGAGGAGGGGGGAGGGGCAAGCTAGGTGCGCTCGCGTCAGATCTGTCGTCGTACCCCTCCCTCCCAACGCTTACCATGGCGCATCTTTATGCGCACAGGCTGATGTCGAGCAAGGCAATGGTCCCGAGAGGGTTTGCGATGCGTGGTAAAGCACGGCGTAGTACGGTGTAGAAGAGCGCGAAAGAGCAGAGACTGTCATAGCATGGCATTGCGTTGCGTAATGTAGCATTGTATTACAAAGCGTACTATCGTAAAGCATGGTATTGTATAGTGGAGCACAACGTAACATCGCATTGCATGCTATTGCATGGCACAGGATGCCTTGGAGGGTAAATGGCCCGTGTACGAAAGGAGAAGGCCTGTCCGGAATCCCGGCTCCATGTCCAACCGTGCCTGCCCGATGTGGGCGCTTTCGAATGCCAAGTGCCGTCTGGTAGGGGTACTGTAATAGCGTAAGGCCCCCCCTTTTTTTTCACACGCTGTCCTACGAGCCCCCTTCCAAGTCTCCCTGGGCTTTCCGGACAGCTCTGCACGAGGCGTGGCGAATGGCCCGAAGATATCTGGAAACTCCAGGGAACGCGCAGAAATTGCCGACGGCGACAACGACGCAGACGACGACGACGACGGCGGCGGGGGACGCTGCGGCGGGCGAGGACGGGTGTCAGGGAATAGTACGGCGGGCTGCCAGGCTCGATGGCCTGGCTTCCTTGAACAATCGGTTCGCACTGGGACCTGGACCTCTCAGGGGGTCAAGTCGGATCGGCATTTTCCAGCCGGATCGTCTTTGCAAGGTCCCCAAAATCAACCAATCGACACCGAATGTGTCATCACTTCCGATGGTTTTTCCGGGGGCATTTTTTTGATTTGGGGGCCTAGTTGGAAGGACCGAAAACCATGCCGTGGCATGGCGCTGGAACCAATAACGCCAGCGCTGCGGCGGGAGCACGATTCGGAACGAGCGGAAACGCGGAAATGAGGCCAGCGCTGCAGCGGGGGCATGATTAGGAACGAGCGGTAGCCCGAAAATGAAGCCAGCGCCTCAGCGAGAGCAGCATTTTGACAAACACCCAAGCGAAAACCCAATTCCAGGGAATCCTGTGCGCAAAAAACCAGTACGCGAAGGGGGGCCGGCCATTTCCCGGTCGTCACCAGGGGAGAGTGGTGAGTAGTATCTATATTGAGTGATTATGTAGGGGGGAGGTGGAAGGGACAAGCTAGGTGCGCTCGCGTCATATCTGATTCGGGGGTGGATAGACCTCTTACCCTGACACGTCGATTTGTGAATTGTCCGTTTTCGGTTCTCGAGAGGGCGCCGCGGCCGTCATTTTCCGGGCTTGCGCCCGCCAGGTTTGGGCCCGAGGTCGTTTTCACTAAATCACGTTTTACTAAAGGGGGTTCTGTCCATCCCCGACAGGTCCTACCCCTCCCTCCCATCCCTCACCATGGCGTAGATCTCCCCTCTATTCGCACAGTCGGATTTCGTAGCGTGGCAAGGCATTACATGGCATAGCATGGTGTTGAAAATCAACGCGTAGGCTTCTGCGACCCAAGAATTCAACGAATCGACGCCGAATGTGTAATCACTTCCGATGGTTTATTCGGGGGGTCATTTTCTAGATTTGGGGGCCTATTTGAAATGACCGAAACCATGCCGTGGCATGGCGCTGGAACTAATGACGCCAGCGCTGCGGCGGGAGCACGATTCGGAACGAGCGGAAGCGGGAAAACGAGTCCAGCGCTGCAGCAGGAGCACGATTAGGAACGAACGGAAGCGCGGAAATGAGGCCAGCGCTGCTGCGGGAGCACGACTCGGAACGAGCGGAAGCCCGAACATGAGGCCAGCGCTTCAGCGGGCGCAACATTTTGAAACAACCCAAGCGAAAACCCAATTCCCGGGAATCCTGTGTGTGTGTGTGTGAAAAAGCAGTACGCGGAGGGGGGCCGGATATCTTCCGGACGTCGTCAGGGGATAGGGGAGAGCAGCAGTCATGTTGTGTGATTGTGGAGGGAGGAGGGCGAGGGAGGGGGTCGGCGCCCGGGCGGGGGGTCGGCGACCCGGGTGGGTGTCTAGGGGAACGGAAAAGGGCACAAACCTGAAAGCTCCGAGGCCCGCGCGGACTTCTCGGATCGGCGGTGGACCCTCCCTCTGGCGCGCGGCGCGCGCCAGGGGCAGCGCTGGAGGCGCCGCCTTGGGGGCCCCCCAGCGCCGACCCGAGAAATCCGCGCGGACTCCCGACTTATTATGCTTATGTCGTTGTTCGTCCCCTTAGTGTGATGGGCCTGTTTGCCACCACCACCACCATACGTTGGAGGGGGGAAGGAGGTGGAGGAGGAGGAGGAGGAGGAGGACGAGGAGGAGGAGGAGGAGGAGGAGGAAGAAGAAGAAGAAGAAAAAGAGGGGGAGGACCTCCTGCCCCCCAAACTTCTGGCTGTGGTGCTGGAAAACAGGCCCATCATAGTGTCGGCGATCGGAGGGGGTGTGTCGGCGACCAGAGGGGGAGGGGTCGGCGACCAGAGGGGAGCGGTCGGCGACCAGCGGAGGGGCAGGCCAGCGACCGTGGTGCCGCCGGGCACCAGCCCCACCTGGCGCACCCTGCGGTGCCGCCAGGGTCACGTCGGGCACGTCCCTCTTCAGGAGGAATATTCAAACGCAGTCAAAAAGTAGTCTCGGGACGATTTTAGTCTAAACTTTTCGCTGCTATTTTTGAGCATTTGTTGGCTGGTTTTGTAAGTTTCGCCCCAAATCCGCCTGTAGGAGGACATGCCTTACCTAAAACGCCAGGGGGGGC